ATTTTAACAAAGGTGTAAAAATCTGGGATTCTGAGGCACTCTTATGGTTAGATTTAAGTATAACCTGTCACTCAAGTCCTTTTGACAAAACAGATGTAAAGAATTGCAGGCCATATTAAATGTTTGTTGTTTAAAATGCTAGCTGCTTGCTGTTTGCTCACTTTAGTCTAGTGGTTAAAGCAATGACATTATCACCCACCTTTTCAGTTCTTATTTCCTCATATGTGTATGTGCATTAAAATGGTCTATTGTGGTTGTCGATGAAAAATACTCCCATGGAATTTTGAGTCCTCAAGAAACTGTAGAACAGAACTGTAGAACATCTTGCTAGCATATATACTCTTTCTAAAAAAATACTTCTTTCATAGTGTGTTGAATCATCTGTACAGTGGCCAACAAAAAGAGGCATAACCATATATGCTGATCCAGATATACCAGCAGCAAGGTATGATTTGAAAATTCAGTGATAATTCTGGAGTAGAGACTTAAGTATAATATTTTCTTATAAAGTGTTCCATAAGATTGATGATGGGAAACTAATGCAGTTTCAAAAAATGAGAAAAAGGTGGCCAAGGAAATTTTTATTAAACATACAATAATTTAAAAGGACATGCCATGGTAACTGCTGTTAGCAGCACAGTTCACTGAGAACTGGCAGTGGCTCTAGAGTCTCCTTGTTTCTTGTTGGACAAGGTGGTTTCTGTAAGGCAGGTCCAAGGAAAATTGGCATGGAATTGTCTTGGTAGATGTGGGCCAGATGGCAATACCTCTTAATTTGTGGAAAGTTTGTGAAAAGCAAAGACTGGTTTGTTGTCTTCCTGAAGGTGAATTTCAAAGGCTTTGCCTATAACCCTGTCCTCATCAAGACATACAACAGTAACATTAATGAAATCACAGAAATGATGTAATATTATGTCATTTCATGCATAGTATAAGAATTTAAAATACTGTACCTCCATCCTTCCCACCTGCCTTTTATATTATTGTTGTTACACATTTTATTTACATGTTAAAAACTCTAGAATACATTTTTTTTTATTTATTTGTTTTTATTTGGGTGAAGATTTACAGAGCAAATTCACTTTCCATACAGCAGTTCACATATACTTTG